TTTATTGAACTTTTTTTATGAAGTGCTTTTTGTAACAAATGTTTGCTTTTGTTTTCTTATATTTTTTATTAATTATATATTTATTCGTTTTTTTTTTTGCTTTTAACTAAAAGTCTTTATCGTTCTATTTTTTTAATGAAATTCACAGTGTTTAAGTTCAGTCAATTCATTGAAGTCCTTTGCAAACCCAACTTTTTCAGGAGTGAAACATGTTGAACAAATGCCATCTCCCCGTATGGTAAAAACACATTTGCATTTCGATTTTCTACCGGAACAGCTGCAAAATGGAAAGGGTCGGGTAAGAGTAATGTTATCACGTGGTATTATGTAAAAACAACAACAACAACAACAACAACAACAACAACAACAACAACAACAACAACAACAACAACAACAACAAAAAACGGATCCCATCTCCGACTGTTTTCATGTTTTTGTTTTGTGGTAAAGTCAATATTGACAACTTGATTGAAGATTTCAACAAGCTCTGTTTTGCTTAAATGTACTGTCACGTTTATTTGTGTCATAATGTTAAATAACTGATGCGAATAGGCTAGTACTTTGTTAACCATAAATGATGTCTTTTTGCTTTGTATGTTCGATTTGTTTTAGTTTGTGTACAATTTGTTTTTATCATCGCAATTAACAAATAGGAGAGGATATATAAAATTTTCCACCTGTCTTTACGACTCGTATATATGTGTTACAATAGATAACTAGATACCAAAGGTCCTTACGTTTAAGGTTCATACCAATGCAATGGATTGGGCTTAGTGAATTTTCCAGTTGTAAGTGTGATTTAAATTTGTGTCCGGTCAATAACTGCTGCATGCAAGATGGAATTTTACAAGAAAAAAAAATGGTACATACTATCATCATAAGTGCACTGTCTGTCTCGTTTAACATTGGTATACGCAATAGCATAGGTGGCAAATGTGTTGCAATACTCAGGCTTTTAGATTTGTAACGTGCAATGTTCACATCAGCAACATCAATGTCAGCAGCAATGTCTTTAGATCATGGCTTGTCGAAATATTTTAGGATATGTATTCGTAACAGCCAGATATGCATTGCGAGCAGGACCCATGTTCGCACCTGAAAGATCAAGGTCACACCTGGATATGAAACTTGTATGCAACCGTTTCTCTCTCCCTGTCTTATAACTTCTTTTGCACAGGTGCCTTTAACATGGTCATGGAGTTGTGTTGCACAATAAAACCCGGTGTGGTCAAATGTCACATTGCGAGGGTATCGTGTGGTGGGGGCATATCTTTAGATTTTGTATATTGTACATGCTCATATCTTACGGACCGAATTATGTATATCAGGTTAGCAATATGTCTTATTTTACATTCCTAACTCTGTGACATAGTTTTACTGTTTAAAATGTCAAGATAAGCAATGTTCTACTTTTTCTAAACTTCGGACCAGGTAATGATTGGACAACGCAACAATCATGTGACCATATTTACTTTTTACTTAACGCTTTATGTACGTGCTTCTTAAAACTCAATATTTTTCCGGTTTATACACAGATCATTTACCTGACTCGAAATCCAAAAGATGTGATCACATCTTACTATCATTTGCTACAATGGCTAAATGAATTTAGAGATGATGAGGAGACCTGGCCGAAATTCTTCGACTCATTTGTTGAAGGAAAAGGTACATCTTGTGCTATAATTGTAATTTACTTAGTATTGGGTGTTTTGCTGGGTTCAATAATGGAACCTTATTTGAAGGAGTATATATTAAAAAAGTGCCGGGATGTGATAAATTCATTTATGTGTACTGGTATCGTTACTTTAACGGAACTCTAACCTGTATTGACATTAGCTATCAGTAAATCAACCATCGCAAAATGCGTAAAAAGGACATTGACCTTAGATAAATTATGTCACACAACAATAACATCAGACTTTACGATTTTATGTTAAAAGTTCTAAAAATGGAAATATCTCAACTGGCGGGCCAAAGAAAATGGTGAGCTGGGGAAGGGGCTGCATGCCTGAAGCCCTGGCCTGAATCCGCCATTGTGAACATACAAGTCAATTAATATTAGCGTTGATGTGGTGTTCATTATTTATTAGCATCCTTATTATTTTTTTCTGTGAATTATTTGTATAATTAAACATATCTATAGATATAGATCTTTATTTTTAGCTCTATTTTGTCCATGGCCAAGACATGTTTTGAAGTACTGGGAAAGGAGGAATGATAATAATGTTTTGTTTCTAAAGTACGAGGACCTTATCAAGGTAAATAGTTTTGGTGAACTTGTATTATGAAACATTGATCAGTTATTGCAATCTCTCAAAATGACATCTGCCTTTGTACAGGCTACGCTCCCTCCGCAGCTTACTGAATGCACTCACGCTACTTCAGACTAAGTGAGCGTTAGTGAAACATTCGACCGATGCGCAGGAGGGTATGTATAGGATTGCTAACAGTGTTATGTCTGGTTAAATTGCATGGACGTGCAAACTATTCTAAGACATGTAAGATAAAAATATTGCTGATATAAGAAACCTATTTTGTGTCCTTGGCATTCAGTAGTGAAAAAGGACTTTTGCCGGTATTTGTACCCTTTGTCTTGTTTATTTGACGTCTGTGAATAATTGATATGAGTCTTCTACCAGTAAGCTGGAACGTCGCCATATGACCGATAATGTGCTGGTGCGACGGAAACCCTAACACAAAAATAACATTGCGCGGAATAGCTATTAGAATATTGTTTTTCCGATCCATTAACAATGAATAGTTGCCAAGATAAAAATGATAACAATGTGTCGTAATATAAATACTCATTACTTATTTGTTGAGTTGTTTGTTAAAAGTGCAGATTATTAGGTATTTCTATTTCTGAATGTGCGCTAACTTTTCTCTTTCTTATTTACGCACGTCACAGATAATTCACTTTCTACTGTTTGCAATGAGTCCAATTTTACTGTCACTTTACTAACAAAAACCTTGAAATCTTTGCTAAAAATCATTTCATGATAGGACATGAATAACTACCAGGTGAATAACCCCCTTTTCCCTACATTAACCGAAATTTAGCAGTTTTGGGAACGTTATGCAAGCATGCACGAACGCGCAATGTTATATCTTAAGGCTCTTTACTTATGGCAGCTATTTTTTTTTGTATTTTGATATTGAACTCCTGACGGTTTAAAATGGACTGCTCTTAATTTCAGGCGAAGCATATCTATAACCCAAATTCAGCAAATCAAGCGTTAATGAACCAGAATTTAAAAAAACTGTCACAACTATTGTAATTTCATAAGCATCAGTTTGTTTCTGAGTTTTTCCTTTAAATATAATGCATATGACTAAAAAATGAAATGGTGTTCTAGGAATAATTAATTGCATAAGCGTCATTTTGTTCAGGACTTGCAAAAAGGTGTGCGAACAATTGCAAAGTTTCTAGGGAAAGAGATATCGGATGAAAATGTTGCTAAAATATGTGATCACTGCAGCGTGCAAAACATGAAGACTAATGACAAAGTCAACTTGTCTTATTGGAGAGATGTTAAAAATGTGAATGACGAGGCAGGTGGAGGATTTATAAATAAAGGTATTTTTATATATGTTTTTACATTCAGAGTATGTTCAAAAGTGAATATATGAGTCAAAAACAAACCAAATTTACCACCACCTGCAGCACCACCAACAAATGTTTAAAGATATACTATGCTCATCTTTAAGTCAAGTATTTTTATTGCAGTTATTTATTGAAATCTTGACAATTCTTACTAAATGTGTCGTATTTAAATACATTTGTAAAAGAACGTACAAACTATAAATCAGAATCTGCGTTCCGTTCAAGAAAAGCTGGTATTTTCTTACTTTTCTTAAACAACTCCAGGTGGTTTGTAGTCAACGACCTTAACTGATAAGCCACGGACGCCCCTCGTGTTATGATAGTTTTCATTGAAAGTAATGTCAATGTTGGTAACAATTTTATGTTTTCAGGTATTGCCGGTGCATGGAAACAACTACTTACATCAGAAGAATCAGAAAAGATTGATGCTCTCTTAAAAGAAGTGGAACAGTCAGGACTGACCTTTTAATTTCTCAGTGACCCTTAAAAGTCACTTAAAGATATGCCATGAACAAATTTGATAATTGAAAATACTTAAAATTGACGCAAAGTCAATTTGTTAGATTTGAATATAAAATAAACATATTTTGACATCAGAAATTTTGACATCAAAGTAGATATGTTATAGTTTATACTCTTGGTAGGCACAAGATGAATAGAGAGTGTAAATAATAAAAAACTGTTGTTTTTTAATAGAAAGGATCACATTTACTTGACCCGTAATTTGGAAAGCAGCTCCCTACACATGTTTTGCACATCCTTTTATTCAAATAAGACGTTTTCAGTAAAAATTTCATAGATTTCAACTCAAAGATGGGCATAGTATATCTTTCAGATATCGCGAAAATTAAAACCAAATTCAAAAGAAGACCGTCTTAAGGCTGTGTTTTCAAAACACAAAAATGAATTTGGTTTAACTAAAACAGACTTGTAAAAATTATGATTCTAAAAATGAAAATAATAATTTTATATTTATATCTTCGCCTTGGATGGGCGAATACACGAAATGGCAGAAATCAGAAACAATGCCTTTTCTAAAACAAGTAGTATAAGTCAAATATTTTGGTGGCTGATTTCTTGTGTCTTCGCCCCTCAAAAGTTGACGGCGAATATGCTTACTTATCGGGTTGTTCGTCCTTAAATTTTGAGGGACGAAAACACGAAACCACGAAATGGCAGAAATCAGCCACCATAGAATATAGAAATTAAAATATATCTCCCATATTTAATGCATTTTAAAACGTTCTTGAAACGTTCATGTTTCGCAAAAAAATGGTTCTATTATATACAGAAAATGAAAAGAGTGAAAAAAAACCTAAAAATTTTCTAAGAAAATTAAGATGATCGTTTAAAAACTTTATAGCAAACTTAAAAGGGCGAAAACTGATTCCCGCTTTGTTTGCATTACTATTGTTGTATATAAACCAATTCAAGATATATCTGTTAAGATTAGTCTCCTTATTAATAACAATTAGGAAATGGAATTTTTTTAGTATTCCCTTTAACAAAAGGGCAGACAGCTCCTTGTCACTTTCTCGTACGAGAAGGGAACCATGTGATGTGTGTATGTTGTCGCACGGTCACTTTCTCATACGAGAAGGGAACCATGTGATGTGTGTATGTTGTCGTACGGTCACTTTCCTTACAACATGTCCTCGATGCATGTATGTGGTCGCATGGTCGAAAGTCTCTAATAAAATGTAATGTTAACGTTTTCAAAAATGTTTTGATATTGAACCGTCTGGTGTCATAGCTTATTTCTTAAATAACTAAGTTACACGTAATCAGACGTTTTGAAAGCCTGAATAGGACCTTGATACTACTGTTTAGGAGTTTTATAAATCGATTACTTTTCATTAAGAGGATAAAAGCCTAAGTAGGACTTTGATATTCCTAAATAGGAGAGATAAAAAGCTTAATTAGAACTCTGTTACTCCAGTTCCAACTAAAACTGGAAACTGAAAACTGTATGTTGCATTTCTAGACAGAAAAAAGAAGTTCAAAAACAGAAAGAACAAATAGCCACGTTTGATAATGCCTATGCATCGCAAAAATCTGGCGGCAGTACTTCTTGGACTAGGGATGTGTGTCTTATGATTTGAAAAAAAAACAAAACCCAAAACAACAACAAGAACAACAAAAACAACAACAAAAACAACAACGAAGCCAACAAAATCACTAAATGTCAGGCACATTCAATGTATGTCAATTTAAAGGACAAACAAGTCTTTTGCAAAAAATAGAAATAATGTCAGCTGATGCTCGCATGACTTTGAAATTTTGTATCCACCTCACGATCGTTCTGAGATTGGTTAAATTAAATGGGTTTTCCTAAAATAATTCAAGATTTTCGGGACCCACCGTATGCTACTTTTTGTGTGACATTCTTTGCAGATTGTCACATACAAAAAGCTTGACAATCCTTCTTTGAAACTGCAATCTTAAGCACATTCCTCTGGTCTAAAGAATAAGACCGTCAAACCTTGCAGGGAAAATGCGTGTGACGATTTATTCTTTGAATTTGATTTTTGTTTCCGTGACAATATATCAATTTTTAAAGCACACAGTAACCTTGCTATGGACTATTGGCCAATAAAATTGCAGCATTTAGTTATGTATTACATGCTTTTTCAATTTTCCTGACTGTTTCATTTATTTTTGTTTTGTATTTTTTAGTCTTGATTTAACCGGGATACAATGTATTGTAGTCAATGGTCCTTATCGCCCGAAGTTTGACGGAAAGGGCCGAACAGTTACGATTTATAATATGTTATCAAAGTTTTACATGTGTATATCTGAAAAGCAAGGGCATATTTTACTAAAAATAACTAAAATAACCGTATCATTTAGATTATATTAACGATAAAAACATGTACATTCAAAGTGTCGGTTTTATACTTGTTTGAAATAAACTAACTTATTACCGAAATAATAACTTAAAAATAACATTATAATGAATAGAGCCTCGTTTTAGAAATGACAATAAAAAGCGATTAAGTATGAGTGCATCATGCAAGTTTTTGATGATACTTAAGTGTGTCGTAATGATAATTAGCAATTGCTCTGCACAGGAGGGCACGTGCACTAAGGTATCGAGCTGTAAGTGTACGTACCAAGATGGCGCTATAGTTGATCTGACCCCTCTAGCCAATACGGACGGAAGTGCAAGGTACTGCTTTTCATATTCTTATTCACCGTTAAATCTAAATATCGTCAGATATACACACCATCTAAAGTAAAATGTGCTTGATAACAAGAAAAGAATGAACATATTTAATTATCGTTTTAATAAATGGAACAAATTTTATTTACTGTTACAGATTTTCTTTTCAATGTTACGTAATGATTTGATGGCGTCATGAATGTCAGCGCATATTGTTACGCGACAAAATCAGTCAAAAATGATTAAAAAAAATATAATAAATAGAAAATTTCTATGACCAAATTAAATTTCACTGCTGAACACAAGCGCTGTAACACCGCACTTTGGGGTCAAACGCACTTTGGGGTCGAACCCCAAAGTGCGTTACGCACTTTGGGGTCAGACCCCATAGTGCGTTACGCACTTTGGGGTCCAATTTCGACCCCAAAGTGCGTTAAACAGGTACATATGCATTTTTCAACATCAGGCAAACGACCGCACTTTGGGGTCAGAGAATATTTATGTTCATTATGTTTTAAATGATATAGTGTAGTCAAAGCCAATGGTAAACAAAAATCAAGGTATTAAATAGACACAAAACATGTGCCCTGAATCAATAGGGATTTAAATGGTCTTGATAAGTAAGTGAAGAACTTTCACAAAATAAATCACCAAAAATAGAATTTGTATCAATGCAGCACGCCTCCAGATTCACGCTAATTTTCATGAAAATTTTGAAAATTTATTTGAATGTATACTATTGTGGAATAACCAAAAGGAAGCAATTTGCACATTATCAATGGCACTTATAACTTACGTGGTAAATTACCAAAAAGTTGTCAAAATATGCATAAGTAGCCCTTAATGCGTTAGTAATGCAGTAGGGATATAGTTGTAAATATTGAAAACTCAGTCATTGACCGCACATAACATGTAAAATATTACTTGAATCTTGAATCATTTTACATTTCCTATAATCGTAGTACATATTTCTCAAGTTTGATTTTATTGAAATATTTTGACTCATCTGGAGGCATGCAGCTTTAAGCTTAAAATATGTTTTTCTAAAATTTTCCATTTATTTTAAAAGAAAGTACACCTTTCATTGACTCCATTGTTTTTAGCTAAATGCATCATTTTCCTGTTTGTTATTTACACATTTTACAGAAATATGATAGACTTGGCATAGACGGAGGTATAAATTCTGGATAATCTTAGTAAGACATTTCAGTAAAAAATTTGCCTGATAAAATGTTAAAATAGCCATTCATTTAGCTAAATATGACACATTGGAAACTTGACTAGGCGAAGATGCGGCTTTAAGTAGTAGTCCGTACAGGCAGTCAAAAAATATCAACTATTTAAGTAGTCGCACATTAAGAGCGAGCTTCAGAATAATGTAAAATTCTCACTGGGGGTATAGAGGGGATTGTGGGGTATCGATCTCCCCGAGGTTTAAAAATAACATTTTAAAGGCCCATTATGCTTTTATTTGTTTTTCTTCAGCTTTTTTATTTCGATGTTCTTTTATATTATCAAAAAAATACACATTGGCCAATTACCTGAACCATCTTTTTCATCTGTTGCTTTTTGACAATGATGAGTGCAGTACTGTTATATGTTATAGTGATAAAGTCGATAAGTAGTTTACATGTTTTATATGGAAGTCAAATACTACATTGTTTTGACTACTTTTATGACAAATAATTTCACATTTATCGCTACTTTATTCAGGCAATAACAAGCATCTTACATTTCTCTGATACCATTATTTTAACATTATAATATTCATCTTTCGAAAGAAGTATGTAAGATTTCCCATTAAAAAAGCATCTGGCGAACGGTTGTTACGGAGGGAAAAAAATATTAACTGCATTTTATTTCATTCCTTACATATTTAAAATGGCGCTCAACATATGGCACCAAAAGTTATCAAGTAAATGACTGACAGAACGGGATATTTTTCGCAGCATCATTAAACTTTAGGAATACACGAATTCTGTACTAAAATATTTTGAACGGTGGCAAAAAAGTGACATTTGCAACTTTTTTTTATGTTTTTGATACCTTTTTTTTGTTTTGTTTTTTCGTACATATTTTTTGTTGTGTTTTTTTGTTTGTCATACATTTTTTTTTTGTTTTGAATACATACTTTTTTTTAGTTTTGCATACATATTCTTTTTAAGTTTTGCATACATATACTTTTAAGTTTTGCATACATATTTTATTTTAGTTTTGCATACATATTTTATTTGAGTTTTTGGTACATATTATATTTCTTTTTTGTTTTTTACTTTTTTTCGTACATAATTTTACATGACGCCATTTGCAAAGTAGAGGTTTGGATAATTACGCCATTTGTAAAATACCATTTTTAAACACTTCGCCATCTGTAAATTACAGTACCCCATTGCAAACGCCATTTGCAAATACCAACATTTTCATTTTTGGAGGCATCAAAAAGATAATAACACTTTTTAGTATATATATATATGTGTGTGTGTGTATATACATGTACATGTATATATCAGAGACATAGATAATATCTATGTCTCTGTATATATATATACGAAAAAGGTCGGCCGAAACCAGACTTGCGCGGCCAAAAACGACTGGGTCGATTCCAAAAAATGGGCCGAAATATGACCAAACTACTGTGCTAGTTTTATACTCAACTATGGGCTATTATGAGATGTGAAGGCTGTTTTGATTGGCTAAAATATGTACGAAAAACCAAAATAAAAATGTACGAAAAACTTTAATAAAATATGAATGCAAAGCTCAAAAAAAAAAAAAAATATGAATGCAAAACTGAAAAAAAAAATGTGTGCAGAACTTAAATAAAAATATGTATGCAAAACTTAAATAAAAATAAATGCACATGTCACTTTTATGCCACCGTAATTTTGTTATATGAACAAATTATTATTATTATTGGATATTTTAAGTGGTAAAATTAATGAAACTTTTATCACTTAAGCATCATCAAAGTATTGACCGCCATCTTGAACTCCACCTCAAATATTTCAATGTCGAAGATCGAAAATAAGTCAGTTCTCAGTATTTAAGCAGAACTCAGATTACACCTTTAGACCTCTGGAACCCAAAGTGTGTTGATATGTAGCATATTAACGCACTTTGGGGTCAATTTCTCGATTTTAACCCCAAAGTGCGTTTGACCCCAAAGTGCGGTGCGAAGTTTAACGCACTTTGGGGTCGGACCCCAAAGTGCGTTTGACCCCAAAGTGCGGTGTTACAAAGCGCTTATATTTTCATTCGTGGCGTAAACAGGGCTGGGAATCAAAACTGCGTCGTATCCTACAAAATGTAAACAAACGCCGCCATCTTGGAACGAAAAACGTATGTTTTTGTTTATAACTCTTTTTGTTGGAAATGACTGAAAACCAGATATATGTATTAACACGCTACACTATTTTCCGCTTCGTTCGGTATATGTTGCTTGCACAGCTATTTTGTAAAACAAAAGTTATAGCGAACTTGCATCTCGAAGCGGAGCAGAATTTTAATGAAAATGTGTGGATACGACGCAGTTCATATTGCTTTATCTATCGTTTTTTCCTTCAAATCAATTATACATTTGTTTCAGAGTTCACCATAAACTTCAAAATATAATTTTGCATCATTTACTGAAATTTCATTAAAAGGAGATGTTTATTATCTTAGAAAATAATGATTTTTACGAAATGATACGACGCAGTTGAAAATAAAATATGATACGACGCAGTTGTATTTTTGGCAGTCTTTTCAATAGGGATAATTTTGGCAAAATATTTCTATTTTATGGAATAATCACTTGCTCTAGATAAAAAAAAACCCCAGATCATTTGCGGTGTATAGCAATGTTCAGATGCTTTTGATTATTTAGAATACAGTGTGTCATGTCCAATATAACATTTAATTTGAAAGTTTACATTGCGGAAGCTACTTTTCAGTTAGACATGAACATGTTACCTAATTGATCATAATATCTGAAATTATTTCTTATATTTTCCTGTATGTTCAATATTATCCCTAATTGTTTTTGCAAAAATATAGAAATCTATTAACTTGAATTCATGTTGGCTAGCTACGCTCTAAGTTAACTGTGGTTCTGCATGTTCTGGGTAAAGACTGCTTTTTGTGGCTTGTTTTCAAACTTTCACTCTACACATTAGCTTTACTAGGGGCGAGGACCTCAGGTGCACAAAGGCATTATTTCAGACAAAATGTTGCACCTGCAGAGAACCATCGACATTTTGAAACTAGCTTGATAGGTTTTCCACACGAAAGAATAAAAAGAACCTGATGGTTTTCGAATTCATAGCAGTTCAGTTCAAGTGATTTGAATTCAGTAAACATAAACAGCTCGGCCACGGTCGGACACACCTGTCTGATTTGTTTTTTCAACAAAATTTGTTAACGTCAGCTGTACAAATAAGCAGCTTTTTATTAACTTCTGGCGTGAAGTTTTAAGATTATAAATATTTGAATTAACTATAAAGAGAATAACATCTAAATTTCTTATTTCGGTATGACTAGCAGAGAAATTTTCAATGTAAACACGGGGTAATCCTCTGTGAAGTCATTTTCTGAAAACCTTTGTTTAAGTTTTCAGGCAATTCATTATCAAATAAAAATCACACTTTAGTATGAAGGTATGTTAAGATGCCATGTCTCTAGTCTGTCGAAAAATTCGATGTGATAATCTGACCTAAATTTTCTGTTTAATATTGTGAAAACTTCTTCAATACTGTTGAAAGATCATGTCTGCCTATATCTGTATCACATTTATCGGTGCACAGCGTTAAATACCTTTGCAAAACGGACACCTTCTTTACAAAATAATCTGTAGTTGTATCCTATGTAAATTTAAAGTTTTTTAATGGAGAAGAATGATACTTAAGTGCAAATATAGAAAATACATTCCGTAGACCTGTGTGGTGCGGGGGTTTCACAGTTGGTACTGGAGGGGGGTAGGTAGGGGTAGGTTTCCGTCTGCCATGATATTCTTACAAATACGTTTAAATAAATAAAACATTTCTGTGCCGTATTTAATTTCTCCGTAGTATAATAACATTCAGTTAACTTGAAATAGTCACTCATCTTAATTCGGTAATTATTCATTATCTATATTCATCTTTGGTATTTATTCAAAAACCTTTTGGCATCATATGTAAACACAAAACTCAGTAAGTCCATTTTTCTATTTTTAATATAGTTTCCTTTTATTTTCATATTTACATCAACAGTTCTGACCGGTCAAAATAACAAATATATATGTACATGTCCATAAAAATGCACCGCAGAAAACTGCGGACTTAAACCGTCACATGTTAAGTGTCTGACTGCCTGAATCCCTCCTATCTCAAAAAGTTCTTCTCATTTATTAATACAAAAATAATTGTAACATAGGTTTCAATAATTAACCAATGAAAAAATGACCCCTAAACAAGAAAATATTAACCAATGAAAATACATTTTATCAAATATGAAATTAAAGATTTGACCAATAAAAATGGTTCGATTAAGACTGATTAACACGCCAGATGTCAAAAGTCAGCGGCCTGTTAATTCCTTTCTTTAAGTCAAACAGATAATCAGATAAGAAAACTTCAAATAAATGTCGTAGATAAAATTAATGATAATAATCATGTTGTCATACATGTGACGTAAAGATTAATGTGTCAGACACGTAAATTGCAATAAACATGTCAGAGGTCTGGCTAATTGATAATTTACATATTTCTGAATTTCAATAATTTAAAAACTTTTTATAACATAAAAAAAGAAAATATAATAATTTTACGAAAAGTATTTTGAAAGAATCAAATGAAAAAAATACAGCATAACAATTGCCTCATCGGCGATAAAGAAATGCAATACGACAAAATCAGAGGTAAAGTTTCGCGGCGCTGAACATAAAATGACTAAACGGAACGCATAACCTACTTGCAAAAATATATTGTAGCTTAACCATTTATAATATAATTTTAAAAATTTAATGTTCATTTTCAAATAATAAAGCTCATCTGTTCTCACCGATTATTAAGAAAATGAATACAATAAAATCGGCACGTAAAAGACATAAGTAATAACGGAATTGACGGAAATTATTGCTAATTACAAGTAACAAAGGTAGGCATGCAATTTGCGCATAGCTCTCTTCCGATAGCAAGAGACCTTTTCAAAATTTGTCATTCTTTCTCTTTTTTTTAAAAAAAAGGTCATTCCTGATTAATACTAGTACAGGGTTCAGGAGAGGTTACACTGGAATCAAAAATAGTAATCACTCCCATTTCGAACTCACGGGAACAATTTTAGAAGCATGCTAAGGCAACACTGGAACACGTTGTCATATGGGTGTGCGATCACGTGTTTCAATGTATATTGCATTTGATACAGCTTTTCGGAATTTGTAGATGCTTATGATAGGTACTTAAATGCGACTGAAAAATACAGCCTTAATAGAATTGTATTACATTTTCATTTTTATGGAACCAATGAGTGACCTCTGCTTTTGACTTAAGTTGTTAACAAGAAATGTTGTTGGACGTTATTAGCATACCTAGCACATAATTTAAATAGTTTAAAACCAATATGCAGCCTGCAATGAAAATACAACTGCGTCGTATCATATTTTATTTTGAACTGCGTCGTATCATTTCGTAAAAATCATTATTTTCTAAGAAAATAAACATCTCCTTTTAATGAAAATTTAGTAAATGATGCAAAATTATGTTTTGAAGTTTATGGTGAACTCTGAAAACGAGTATATAATTGATTTGAAGGAGAAACGATAGATAAAGCAATATGAACTGCGTCGTATCCACACATTTTCATAAAAATTCTGCTCCGCTTCGAGTTGCAAGTTCGCTATAACTTTTGTTTTACAAAATAGTTGTGCAAGCAACATATACCGAACGAAGCGGAAAATAGTGTAGCGTGTTAATACATATATCTGGTTTTCAGTCATTTCCAACAAAAAGAGTTATAAACGAAAACATACGTTTTTCGTTCCAAGATGGCGGCGTTTGTTTACATTTTGTAGGATACGACGCAGTTTTGATTCCCAGCCCTGGTAAACATTATCATCTATTTAATCTGTGAAATATATTCGATCTTACATGCGTAAAAATATCCTCTTTATGAATGAATAAATAAAAAATAAAAATGATAATGATATTTTTTATAGATATTCAGATGTACCCGGAAGTGTTGCCACAACCTTATACTCATGGAACCCATGCAACAGTTTTACAGAAAGCACGTGCCAAGATGTTGCGGTAAAGTTACTATTAAATACTATTAAATGTTAGGCCGATAAGAAGAAAGTTTGATAGTTTTTTTCTAAATGCTTATCAATAGTCAGTATATGTTTATCCGTTTAAACGGGTACTGTCTAATTTTAGCTAAAAACCGGTAAGAGAATTCAATAACCGGTAACCGAGGTTACTATTTGGCAAAGAGGAGAATAAGTTTTAAGTTGATTCTAAACATAACCTTACTTTTTATAACAAGATAAGACAATTTGTTTGTATTTAAGTTGCATTCAACAATGTTTTTCTTCAACCTGACCGAGTAAGGTACGACCCTAACGGAAAATAGTCATTCCATATTTGGATATGTTTTGTAATCATTCCTAGAACAAGTGAATGTACGGAAGCGTCCTGGTGCCAATTCATAATGTTCTATAAAAAAATAAACTCCTACGTAGGAGATAAAAAAGCCTAATTAGGAGTTTATAACTCCTACGTAGGACTTTTAAACTCCTACGTAGGACTTTTAAACTCCTACGTAGGACTTTTTAACTCCTACGTAGGACTTTATAACTCCTACGTAGGACTTTATGACTTTATAAGAAATGCAAATCTCAACATTCCGGACCGGTATATCGGCGAAGGAACAAGACACTTACCCCCCCCCACCCTCAAATCTTAAATATAGAGGACATTTCACCTTTGGTTCATACAGAATTTATTTAAGTTTGATTGGGTAGGAAGCTATAACCTTATAGACACACTTTCGAATCCGTTCCTGGAACCAACCAGTACGTACTTAGCAATGAGTGTAAAGTTTCTTGCTCAAGGAAACAACGGCTTGCGCCTAACGGGGTTTGAACCCATGCGGCTAGCGATCATTAGGCTACTAGTCACACGGCCATGCCGCAACACTTCACCTTTTAATAAAGTGTCTCAGGTTTCTAGAGTGTACAGTGTCTTAGGGTGAGGTGTCTGTAAGCATTTGCGATGTATCCCGAAAAATTGCTTTACAGCTATTCGAAAAAATCTTACTCGACATCAAGCATATATATCAAAATTTTAAAAGGCTTTAATGATTACGATTTCAATACGAACTAGCTGAACAAAACGAGCAATTTATCCATTTTCGGCCGTTTCAAATGATTAAATCCTTATAGGGGGCAGGGGGGGGGGGGTAGTGAAGTGTCTTGTTCCTGCTCCGTAAAGTTTAAGAAGATAACGGTTTGCGGAGCATTATGCATGCATATGTTTAATAATGAATTGCATTGTATATCCTACTTTGAACAAAGTTTAACCCATACATTTTGTGTACATGTGTAAAATAAATATAACTAAACGTACATAATACAGAATCATCGTTTAATATATGCAGAGAATGACAAAATCATCCCTGGCTACAGACTAAAGGTATTTACTAAAGTGGCTTGCCACAATTACAACTTGACACATATGAGCCGCGCCATGACAAAACCAACATAGCGGGTTTGCGACCAGCATGGATCCAGACCAGCCTGCGCATCCGCACAGTCTGATCAGGATCCATGCTATTCGCTATCAGTTTCTCTACTTGTAATAGGGTTTGTAAGCGAACAGCATTGATCCTGATCAGACTGCGCGGATGCGCAGGCTGGTCTGGATCCATGCTGGTCGCAAATGCACTATGTTGGTTTTGTCATGGCGCGGCTCATATAATTTATTTTCCTACATAATATGCTATCTTAAGTTATACTCTAGCATACATGTCCGTCGAACTCTGTGCTTTCAGTTCTTTGATATGTATTCTACGTAGGAGTTATAAAGTCCTACGTAGGAGTTTAAAAGTCCTACGTAGGAGTTACAAAGTCCTACGTAGGAGTTACAAAGTCCTACGTAGGAGTTATAAAGTCCTAATTAGGCTTTTTTATCTCATACGTAGGAGTTATAAAGTCCTACGTAGGAGTTATAAACTCCTAATTAGGCTTTTTTATCTCCTACGTAGGAGTTATAAAGTCCTACGTAGGAGTTACAAAGTCCTACGTAGGACTTATAAAGTCCTACGTAGGAGTTATAAAGTCCTACGTAGGACTTACAAAGTCCTACGTAGGAGTTTAAAAGTCCTACGTAGGAGTTACAAACTCCTAATTAGGCATTTTTATCTCCTATGTAGGCTTTTTTAGTTTATTTTTTTTATAGAACATTATGAATTGGCACCAGGACGCTTCCGTATGAATGCGAACAAAATGTGATATCATGAAGAAACACGGTTAATGATGGAAATCGAAGGATATTGTTAGACGGTCGGTTAAACGTTTAACACGGTTTGAACGATTAGAATTTTTTCTAACCATGGTAGTATCACTTGCACTCCATGTACGACCACTCCATGTCCTGCTTTTTGTTTGGTGCCTTACTGAATGCCTTTGCGGTAATCCAGTGTGACTGTATTTTGTATTGGGTTGCATTTTCTTAATGTCGTTTTGAATTAATGATCTTTGTTCTTATGTTTTTCCTGTTCCACAGCCATAATACCTGCGCGAAATTCTATCATTTGCATGTTTTTCAATTCATAATTGAAAAACATTATTGGAAGTAATCAAAATAGCTAAACTGAACTTGCATGAAGAATGACATAAATAAGAAATGGAATTAAAAGTGTACTTCAGTTAAAACGTATCATCGCAAATAAAACTTGTAAAAAGTAAAAATCGTGTCATCATAAATAAAACTTTCATCATGGACATTGCAACATAAATTAGAAACAAAATAGAAGAGTATCTGGGTTAAAAAACGTGTCATTATAAATAAAAACTTCCTCATGACATAGCACTGACTTTGTCGCGTTATGATGCTACTCGGCGAAAATTGTAAAATGTTTCTGTATCAGTTCAAGATCAAGAGTTGGTAAATATTGGGTTCATATATCAAATGTATTATTGTTGTGCTCGTTGTGAGCACCCATCTACGTGTGACAAGGTGAGTTTTTCATAATTTTTGAAGATAAAAGACATTTGAGCCGCGTCAATACAAAACCAACATAATGGGTTTGTGACCAGCATGGATCCAGACCAGCCTGCGCATCCGCGCAGTCTGGTCAGGATCCATGCTGTTCGCTATCAGTTTATTTACTTGTTATAGGGTCTGTAAGCGAACAGCATGGATCCTGATCAGACTGCGCGGATGCGCAGGCTGGTCTGTATCCATGTTGGTCGCAAACCCATTATGTTGGTTTTGTCGTGACGCGGCTCATTTATGTAAAAATATCGGAATGCAGTTAGCTAGCGATGTGTTTCCCGAGTATGCACATGTAAAGATATTGTCTGTTGGTCGACAATTTGATGGAAATACCGTGCGACGCAGTCACTCGGGGTAGCTGGAAAACTGGAGACAACTTCTCTCCGGGCCAAATTTAACATTGAAAACGTCGATTCTGGTGAAGTTTTGTGCATTATAACCTAAAACAGATGCTCACAAGTCTTCAGCGTAAATTATTACCTGAAAGTCTTCCTAGAAACGAAGATATACCCTTTTTTGCTTTAATCCTCGTTGTGAGCACCATAACCTCGTTGTGAGCAAGTCAAGCACATTGCGTGTCTGGTTTTAATATGTAATTCAGATGGTGAAAATATAATTTTCAATCTACCAAAGCAATTAAAACGTTTTTGCACAGCAGCATTTCTTTGCAAGACGTTGTGCATACCCCGAAGGGAGGCATATTAGTTTTGAACTGTCCGTCCGTCAGTCCGTCCGAAAACTTTAACATTGGTCATAACTTCCTTATTAGTAAACGGATTTGATTCATATATGAACACAACATCCCTTAGCACAAGAGCTTCCTACGGACCTGTATTTTTACCTTGACCCCTGAATGGCCTTTACCTTGAAGGTCAAATTGTCCAAAAACATTTAAGATTGGCCATAATGTCCTTATTTAAATATGTTATTATGCGACTATCGTTTTTCGCGGAGGATTACTTATTTAGTGTGTTGTAACTTTTAACACTACATAAGTATATTCTTAGCTTAATAGATAGTGGTAAACAAAAAACAAACTACATATTCCTACGATTTTGCAAATGTTTTGCTGTTTGTGCAAATGGTGGTGAGCTAATAAGGGGAGGTAAATTATGTATTTAATTGCATATACTTCGTGTTGCAAGAGTTTACATCGAGGGCAGTCTGTGTGATATAAACATGCATGTTTTTTTCCTGACTGGCCAAGTTATGTAGAAAAAGAAGAACTATCGCAAAGAAAAACTATTGTGCAAAAACGTTTTGATTGCTTTTGGGTAGATTGAAAATTGTATTCACGCCATTTGAATAACATGTTAAAACCAGACAATCACTGCGCTTGTCTTGCTCACAACGAGGTTATGGTGCTCACAACGAGGATTAAAGCATACTCGGAAAACACATCGCTAGCTAACTGCATTCCGATATTTTTACATAAATGCCTGTAATCTTCAAAAATTATGAACAACTCACCTTGTTTATTGTGTCACACGTCATAGATGGGTGCTCACAACGAGGAACGGAAGTTGCTCACAACATTTTTACCGATGGACATTTTACACTCGTTGTGAGTTAAACGGGCGTGAACAATGCAAAACGACATTAGAATGCAAGCCACTACAAAATACAGTCATACTGGACTTCCCGCAGGGCACCGAACAAAAAGCAGGAGAGGGCACAAAAGTCGGGACATGTAGAGGTCACACAAGTAAATGATAACAATTGACAACTAAATAAAGAAACCCCTAAATGTCAAAGCCTTTTAAAACGTTTTAAAAACAAGTGAAAAAACGTTAATGCATGTTTAAATTTTTCAAGGAATATCTGTAACTAGTCAATATGATCTTCGTTTAATCCTTTGGCAGTTAAATATATGACTGAAAGAAAAAGTTTGCAACCAAATATGTGTGAACTACAAGTTTGCAACTAAATGCGCTTGAACAAGATATTTTCGTGAAATGAAACTTTATTTGGAACATGCAAACTCAAACATTTCAACAGTATTGAAAGATACATATTTTGTCTTGTTTGGTGAACTTTAAAAATTACAGATGCGAATAATTGAGCATTAAAATCGCCCTAAACTGTTACTTGTCAAGTCTCAAAATATGTACAGAAACAGTTTATATCTTCAATAACTTCGTCATATCAGAAACTAGGAAGCTGAGACCTTAAACCGAGTGTTCCATAAACATTGCTTTAAGGAACAGACATATAATATTAATGAACCGGAAGAAAATACGTGCGAATGTTGTAAATATTCATGACTCGGAGGCCATAGTGTAAAATTTGCAACCAATTTTCTTACTTGAATAAAGTGTGCAACCACTTCACGCCCTGCCCCTTGACTTATATGATTATGTAGAGGTGCATTCCAAAATGATATAAATTTATAAATCTTTAGATTGATATTATTTGTTTTATTAACAGGTTATGTCAGTTAACAAGGGAAGATTTAGCCCCCTGCAATATACTAAGCCAGGGGCCAGGGTTTCAGCAAAAGTTCACGAACTGATGACCAAGGGCAAATTTAGCATTAGAGTACAGTGCCGAAAAGCACTCCAGGGCGTGCTTGTATATCATTTATCATATGTTTAATTTTAAATTCGTAAACCCCAAATGAGAATTAAGTAGAACCCCGGACGTTTTCGAGAATTAATGGATAGCCTTTTCCAAACTTTGAAATAATCAAAAGTCCCTTTGGCGGAAACCCCAGCAGAGGGGGGGCGAGTGATTTGAAGTCAACAAACCTTAAAACCACTCGCCCCACAGATTCCCTAAATGGTATTTGATTTCTATACATTTTTATAAGTCACATTACCTAAAAGAAGTAAAAGTTGAAACGCTAGATTTCACTGCACTTGACCAGCAGAGAGACCCCAAAGCGTTTATATATATTTAAGTTCGGAAGGAATCCCGGGAAGATTTGTTCAAAGGCTATTTATATAGTAATTATAATAATTGATTTTTTAAGGAATCAAAGTTGTTGTGTTAAATTGTTGCCCTTTTGGGGGGAATATTTTGTGATTTATAAATTGTCGGCTGCATTGGTAAACTTCATATAATATTTACTTTTTCGAAGGGAAAATATTCCACCAATTGTCCATTGCTGTACGGGTTAAACGTAGGATAACAATTTTTGCAACGTAAAACTTCCTATTATAAAAATCCACTTCATATAAAATATTGCCATTACTTCAAAATTTTTCCTTTGGGATCATTTTTTTCAAGAACAACGTTAGTTTAAGCTTAGTGTGTGAAATTCAAATTCTGCCGATACGTTAACAGTTACGGATGAAAGAAAACAAGAAGCTAAATATGTAAGTTCTCCACCTATTTTACTAACTCTTTTATTTAATATGATATCAACCCGTTTTACGTTATACACCATCTTTATTTTATTCAAATCCTTTTCAAATATCCACCCGTTCTGCTTATTCACCCGTTTCACATATCCTTCCGTTTTACTTGTCGAACCGTTTCACTTATCGAACCGTTACACTTATACACCCGTTTTACATGTCCATCCGTTCTACTTATACAACCGTTTCACATATATACTCGTTTTACATGTCCATCCGTTCTACTTATCCACCCGTTTCACTTATACACCCGTTTTACATGTCCATCCGTTCTATTTATCCAACCGTTTCACTTATACACTCGTTTTACATATCGACCCGTTCTACTTAACGAACCGTTTCACTTATCCACCAGTTTAATCCATCAGTCGAACAGTCGGGATGTTTAGATATGTTTCTTTAAATAAAATGTATACATGTCATGAAGCAGCAAAACAACATCATCAACAACAACAACAAAAACAAAAACAAACAAAAACATGATAGTATTTTTACTCTGGTTTTTTCTTCTTTAATATTTTAAGTTGAATATTTTTTTTTAACATTGCAGTTTCTGGAATTAAGCAGTCCCCATTGCTGTCCATCTGGTATTCCACACGATCATCTCTCCGTCGGAACATATATTACTATAATGTACGTAACCATGTTAACAGACATGTCGTGTTTAACTATTTACTCATGGTAATATGCGTTATGCATAATACTGCCCTCACACATACCTCGCGACCTTACTGCGTCCTTACTGCGACCTTGCTACGACCCAGGACGCAGCACAGTCGCCATGGACGCAACAGGGACGCAGCGAGGTCGTAGCGAGGAACCCAAGAGGGACGCACAAGGTCGCAGACCGTCGGCGACTATTTTGAACATGCACAAAAAAACAGTCGCAGAAACTCTGCGTTCTTGCTGAGTCCTGGTTAGCGGTCGCCGTGGGATCGCAGTGGAGTCGCCATAGTCGCAGCAGCATCGTAGTAAGGACGCAATAAGAACGCAATAGACGTAGTACACTCGTACTAAGGACGTCGTAAGGTCAGAACTCAGAATTGAAACTTTACTGGTAAAAAGTATTGTTTTTTATAGACGTAGCAAGAACGTAGTAGGGTCGTCGTAACAGTCGCAGGACAGTCGCCGGACAAACGCAATAGTCGTCGTAGAGTCGCCGTAAGGGACGCAGAGAACATAGCACAGACGCAGCTGGGTCGCCGATGATCGCCGTGGGGTCGCCTTGGGGACGCAATACAGTCGCAGTTGAAACGCCATGGACGTAAGAAGGGTCGTATTGAGGACATAGAGAAAACGTACTGAACACAAGACTGCAGAGCCCCGGACCGTCTGCGAGAGAAATTTGAAAGAAAACCAACGATTTTCGAAAGAAAAATGCTATTTTACTAGTTTTCAGGTCGCAGTAAGGTCGTGGTTTATGTGTGAGGGCACCTTAAATACGTATTTATAAGAATCTAACTCCGCATAGCGGTAGAGACCGGAATATGAGACTCTGTCGAGTTTCCGCTACACAGTTATCCGAGAACTAGATATTCCCGTCTGTGACCACAGCCTGTGTTTGATTCATTTTTTTCTTGCATATTAAATATTCTTATTTCGGAAAGAATTTACGAAAACTAATATTTTCGTACAGAATTGATTCTTTTTCTTGCGTATTACAAATTTATGATATTTTGAAAAGAAATTGCGAAAACTAATATTTTCATTTAGCACTTTTTCTTATACATGAAGTAGCGTATGAATTAACAACCTTATTCATAACGTCAAAATGACGTCATTCTACGAACGCTGTTCATTCATGAACGGCTCGCAGGAATGACGTCATTTAAAGCCCGCGACTTGAATATAATACCGTCTGAAATGCAAGAAAGGTTTTTTCTAGCATCGGTGGAAACAGGAGATAATCCTGTCTGATATGCAAGAACTTATTTGAATGCACAGGCGGGTAGCTAAATGGAGCCGTCGACCTTTTCTTGATTTAGTGTTTGTACGATTTATTCTGTTTTAAAGTTTTAAATCTCGACTATAGTTTACATGTTATTACTTCAAATTCTTTATCAAACAAGAATTAACCCACTTAAAGTCTTTTCTTTCAGCTTCCTGTCGTTTGCATCTCTGTTCTTTGTCATTGGAATATCTATACAAAAATTTGTTAGGAAGAAAACCGGTAAAGATGTTATCCCATTTGTAGAGTTTTGGATCCAACTGCCGGGCCTGGTAAAGGTAAAAGTCATAGAAAACTGATAAACCAATTACAAAAACTTCTTTCATGCATTACTGTAATACAATATTGTAACAGCCATTTGCTTACCGAGTTATTGAACAGTTATGAACATCTGTTTGTTACCTACATTTGTTATGAACATATGTGTACATGTATTACCTACAGTTGTTGTGAACATATGTTTGTTACCTACATTTGTTATGAACATTTGCTTGTTACCTGCATTTGTTATGAACATCTGTTTGTTATGAACATTTGTGTGTTACCTACATCTGTTATGAACATCTGTCTGTTACCTGCATTTGTTATGAACATATGTTTGTTATCTACATTTGATATGAACATATGTTTGTTACCTGCATTTGTTATGAACACCTGTTTGTTACCTACATTTGTAATGAACATAATTATGTTTGTTACCTAGATATGTTATGAATATATGTTTGTTACCTACATTTGTAATGAACATCTGTTTGTTACCTACATTTGTTATGAACATCTGTATGATACCTACATTTGTAACGAACATATATCTGTTACACTCATATGTTTTGAAAAGTTTTTATGAACATTTTTCTGTTACCGTTACATGTTATGAACATCTGTCCGTTGCATTCATTTGTTATGTACGTTTGTCTTTTCGTTTAATTCAGTTTATAGTTATGCATTATGCATTTGTGTTGTTCACTTCATCTGTAACGAACATTTGTCCGTTGACTTTACCAGTTATAAATATCTGCATCTTGTATTTGTTTGTACTAAGTAATGGATTCTCATTCAATTTGTTTATCTCTTCATATATATGTGGGGTGTTTTCTTGTGTAGGGGGCTGTCAGAATAATCGTACAGTTGCACTGTAGATAGTTTTTTTTACAACGAGTTAATGTTTTCCTTAAGCGATACACTGAAGTGTATCAGATTTCAATGTACAGTTTTATTTATAAACCTGTTGCTGTGCGTATTAAACTATCTATACATGTAAATGTCAAATCGTTGAAACAGAGATCCGAAGCGCGATACCCTTTATGGAATGAAATCCGATTTTGTGAAAGGGCAATTGCAACCTCTCGGGCCTTTTCGGCTGTCATAATAGCCGATCAATCCGATTGGTATGAGGAAAAATGAAATGTCACGATATGTACAATGAATAGCGAACTGGAGAATTTCGCAATGCAAACATATTCAAATGAAATTATCTTATCCGTCAATTAATCGCGCTCTTCGGTTTTTTATTAATCATGTGGGTTATTATGTATGTTACAGCTGTACCTATAAATAGAAAGTTGACAAGTACGAAAATCTTTTTATAGAAGAAGTTTTGGTTTAACGAAACGGTCATTCGTGTCGGGCTATGGTAATAAATAACGAACTGGGGAATTTTGCAGAAACATATTCAAACAATTAATTGCATTCTTTATAAATCTATAGAAAAAACTTAAGTAGGCCATTTTTACGAATTGTAATATCATAGTATTATTTTACCGTAAAATCATTTTGAAATTGTCTTTCCGTAGGTCTCTCCGGTTTTCCTTTTCTTGCTTTATGACATTTTTACCATGAATATTTAATTAAATAGACCTAGTTCACAACTTAAAATGTCGCTTTTATTTTGACGTTGTGAGAATAGGTCTAGCAGTAGTATACTATAAAACCTATTCGCTGTTCAAGTCTCTTTAGGTAACTGTTCTATATTTTGTTTGGAGGCAATCGATTTTATGGTAGTTTGAGTGGAATGTTCATTTGCCGAATATTATGACATTTTAACAATGCAATTTTAACACGAGTTGTTATGGGTTTATTGGTAGGAATGTAAACAAACTGGTGGGTCAGACGAGGTTTTTGAAGTAATTCATTAAAAAAGTAAATTGACCTCTCAATAAATCAATAAACAGACTTTGTTCATTTTGATTATATTTTGTATGTTCCAAAGAAAATACCACATTCTATCAAATAACCAATATTAAAAATAATATCCAAAATTACCCTCTATATAATATAAATAGACTTCTACCATATTGGGGGTATGTTTTGGATATTATAGATCTGTATATTTTGGATATTATCGTTACTATTGATAGAATTTTAAGTTCCTGTGGAAAAAAACATTCAATATACTAATCACTAGCATGCCTACCAAATATCATGATGAACAATGTCTTTTGTCTGCCCATTCATAAATGATATAAATTTCTTGTAAAAACCAATTAAGTATTGAAAAGTTTATAAGAATATCTGCTCATCATATGTATACTAGTTCATCTTCAATTGCTGCATTTCTTGCTTGGACGCCCTTTGATGCTTTGCATCAATGCTTTTCTTGTTTTTTTTTGTTGAGAAGAGAATTTGTTGTTTTGAAGGGAGTTTTTTGTTATTTGTTGAAATTGATTGAATTTAATTGTGGTGTTTTTAATTGATCAGGATTGATAAGTTGTAATCAGTTGTTTTGGTTGTTGAGTTATATCTGTTTGGTGAGAAATGTTTGGTTGATATTGTTTGAATGTTTTGAGTGATTTTGTCTTGTGAAGATGATATTATTTGATGCTTTGTTTTTGAAGATATCTGTAAATATTTGGTGCTTTAGTTTGCTTTTCTGATGCTGGTTAGATTTTGTGAAGTAAACTTTGCTGGTTGGATGTTTGTGGTTTATAGTGTATCGTAGAGTTGTAAAAATATTCATTTTTGTGTTCTTCATTTTGTGGTGATTTTATTGTTTTGTTTGATCATTAGTTGTTTAGAGCTTAAGCTCGCCAGGTGTCTAGTATTGTTTCGTATAAAAGACGTTTACGTGAAAAGATACTTCGTATAAGTGGCTGATGAATGACATGTGTTTGTTTCCGGTGTAAATAATGATCAGAGTTCTTTGTTTTTGGTATAAATAATGATCAGAGTTTGTTGTTTAAATGTATATTGTATATATGAAATTTAAATAGAAAAAGATAAAATACAAAAAAAGAACAGTAAAAAAATAAAATAAAAAATAAATAGTGTTAACTAAAAAATTACATGCTAGTTTTTTTCCAACCGAGAATATTTCATTTTTATGTCAGGCGGTGCTGCATAGCCACCATATCTTGGAAATTGGTTCTAGTATTTATTATTTAATCTTTCCTTAGATTAAATAACATCAAGGCAGTAATTCTCCTGACAATTATCCATTTGTTATCTTCATATGTTATATAGATTTACATACCATCTTTACTTGTAATGAATAAACATTAGCCACCTTTACAAATACCACTTTCTTTCTTTTGCAACTTTCTTATGCAACTTTCTTTCATTTGCCACTTTCTTTTATAACTTTAGTTCGTTTACCACTTTTACCCACTTTACTTTCATTTGCCACTTTCTTTCATTTGCTACTTTCATTTGCCTTTTGCATATGCATATTTTTAAATTAACTTTCATTACTCAAGAATGTTCGTATATTTTTTTCAGCAGTAATGACAATGAATGATATGAATACTTTTTCATCAGTTAGATACATCTGTAATGAAAATCGGTATTCCTCCCCCCTATTTCCTTTTCCATTTTTCTATTCATAATTATCGTCAGTGTAAATTTATTAGGTTTTATTACAACTTTTTATATTGAAAAAAAAAATCTAAAATCTATAGCATCATTTTGATCTACACTATCTATGTAGGCTTAATTTCACGTTAACTTTTACGTCTGATTTACGGACATTACGTAATTTGTGTATGTCGTTGATTTTCATTTATGGAACTAGTAGAATGTGTTGTCTTTATATTTTTATATAATTAACTCATTTTCCTTGAAATACCTACATGTATTATCAGTTATTATAATTATTCGTATTTTCCTCTTCTTTGTTATGGCATTGTGTGCATAATCTGTTATTAAAATAACTGGGTTATCTTGATCTACTTCTGACATATGTACGAATGAATTATCATTAAACATTCTCATATTTTAGTATTATAAGTACGACATTACAATTTGTTCTGAATATTACTTAGTATGACATTATCAACTGTTATGAATATTACTAACTATGACATTATCATTTGTTATGAATATTAGTATATATATATATATATATATATATATATATATATATATATATATATATATATATATATATATATATATATATATATATATATATATATATATATATATATATATAATACGTTTATCTTTTATTTTTCAGGCGGGCGTTTTACTCATCTTGTGTCGGAGTAAACAAGTATCATACGAGAACTATTAGCATTATATCAAAGCAACTGCACCTGATAAATGCTCAACACAGTTTATCCCTAACCACGGGACTATATCACGTGACTTTTTATGATTTGAGTTGGGCAAAAAACCAATACAACAGAGGGTCCAGGTTTGATTTTATTGTTTAACTGTTCAAGTTTTTCTGAATTGACAAAACTATAAAGTGTTGAACATTTTTTTCCAAGGAACCATTTTATGTTATGCATTGGTTCTCGCTAGAATGAGCAGGCTGTTCAGTTTCATAAACAAATATGTTCAAATATTTCAAAATCTATAGTAGAAAATAAAACGTGGAGGACCGTCTTTTGTATTGGTTTTTATGCCCACGCAAAACACAAAAAAATCACGTAGTATAACCATACAATACTTATCTTCGGCGAATACGACATAAAAGTTTGCTTTATATAATTTTAAAATGACAATAAAAACATTATACGAGATTCATGTCATATCATTACAACTTCATGTAAACAACACCGTTTTCCTCATATAAAGCGCGACCTGTAAATATATGTTATATATGTCTAATGACCTTGATATTATGTTTATGTATGTATGTATGTTTGTATATATGCTGTGTGCTCATGGGTATAATACCCACATGTATTCGGAATAAAATCTTGAAAATCTTGAATCTTGTAAAATGTTGAAGTTTCAATTTTCATAAATGTACAACGTAATAAAGTTATTCTCATACACTTAATGTTTACCAGCGCTCTGTAAAATGCAAATGTATCACCCTTTCCTTTCTGTGTAGACATTATTAACAGAAATAGTTGCCTGTAGAATTTGAAATACAGTGAACAACGGGCTAACTGATTGTTGAAATTCATGTATTTAAAGTGCTATTTTGTCATGCTTACCGAATATTATAGTCAAGTTTTATTACGCAAATGGTTTGCTTGTTTAATGTGCGATCTCATAAGTGAAATTTGTTTTTATTTTCTACAGTTTCAATGCCAAAAACAAATGTAAATTTTATTTGGCTGAGTGGTTATGATTGATACATTCACTTGGCCCTAACTGCTGCAGGTTAAAACCGAGTAGGAACTGTAATTTGTTCTTAAAACAAAACAATCTTTTTATAAATTGCCTTGAAGTTAAGTAATTCTCCTTGTGTGTCGCCAGTTACTAATGCAGGGAGGATCGACTTAAATCTTTCTCCAACGGTATAACTGTTAAGTTCACATATAACCCAGAATGTCGGTGTGACTTCACACACCCCTCGCCATGAAAATAAATGAAATAAAAATGACATTTCCTATATTTTACAAAAGCATGTGTATTGCAAAGTCAAATATGTTATGAAGGTTTGACATTTACTTTTGTTAAACAACACAGCGTTAACGTTCAAACATTGCTCCACACATTTGTTTGAACATAATGAAAATTGTTATCTGTATTATACGAGTAATATCATCCTTACAATTAAATGAAAACACTGTTGTTAAAGATATTCTATACTCATCCTTAGGTAAAATATTTAAATTACAGAAAATTATTGAAATCTATATAAATCTTAATAAATATGTCTTGTTTAAATAAAAGAGTTAATAAAATATGAATTTAGAATTTTAAACACAACTTATGCTGTGTGTGAAGTCAAAATATGTTTATTTTAATATTTACAAAGAGACTGTGTTGCAATGATATAAAATTAGAGCATAGTACATCTTTAAACATCACACGTTTTACCTGCAAAATATAAAATGACGTGAAAGAAGAAAGGTTTCTTAATGTTATATGTACATGAATTATATGTAAAGCAGCGAAAATTTAATCAACGAGAAATCACCTATATCACTTACTGTACACCTTCTACTTTGACTCATAAAGCTTTTCAGAATTCTTAATGGGAAAAAAAATAAGATGCATTGATCGAATATTTCCATTAAAATTAACCTTTGTGATCTGGATGGCATATTTATCAATTGAAAATAACTAGTACATTAAAGTTGTAACAGTTACACCAAAATGATAGCTATAAACTTGAGTTATTTTCGTACGCCAAACCGTTGAATGCTTGTCGTGCTTCTGTTGATTAAAGTATACATGTGTAACAATATTATCTTTTCTGTGTGCGTTATATATTTCAAGATTTTATTATTCACTCAATACACAATACATGTAAATATGAGGTAAATAACAAATTACAAATGTTAACGAGGTTAATAGTATGTAACTCACACATCTTACAATATTCTTTTAACATAGACAGGAGAAAGTTTTACATTCATACAAAATAAAATGAATTATTTCAAAAATATTTATCAAAGTTTAATATAATAATTCAGTTCAATATTTTTCTAAGATTATTTTTATAAACATGCAAAGTTTTTTTATATATCACATAATTTGAGGGGTCAGTGTTCATTAATTTATCAAACTTTATTATATTTGGATTTCTATAATAGATTTCAGAGATATATTTTTTTCTATCCGTGTTAAGATTTGGGCATTCTAATAGAAAATGAAATTCGTCGCCTATGTTATGATTGCAGAGAGTGCATTTTCTCTGTTCTAAAGGGATTCTATGCCAGTTTCCAGTTTCGACCGGTAGTTTATGATTTCTGGTTCTGAATTTGATCATATATTTTAAATATTTGGAAGGTGTTTCACTAAGATATTTCTCAATTTCAAATTTTCTTTTAAAAATACAAATAATTTTTGCAATTAGATGTGTTTTCTAGACCTGAGTACCACTGATTTATGAAATATATCTGATAATTTTTGTTTAACTGATTTAACCAGCCAATTTACGTTAGGAAATTCATGACTCATCCAAATATTAGCCATTCCACATTCTATAAAAATATCTTTTATGCAAGTTATCCATTTGAAATTGAAATTTGAGTGACTATTTTTAAAATTACTCAATGCAACTGCATATATTTCTGTTGTAAGCTTTTTGTAATTTGTTACAATTAGTTTTGCCCAAAATGAAATCATCCTTGCTTTAATTTCTATTGATAACGGTTTGGTACCAGTTTCACCATAAACAATTATATTTGAGGTATTTTTCTTAAGACATAAAATATGTTTTAAAAACTTAAGTTGCACTCTTTCAACAATGTCTAAATTTCCAAATCCCCAGATTTCACAACCATATAAAAGTATAGGTTTAACCATTTTATTAAAAAGATCAATTTGAATATTTATAGGTAAGCAGAGATGTTTGCATTTTTTAATTAAAGAATACATAGCTTTTGTAGCTTGTTTGGCAATTTCTTGCTTTGTTTTGAAAAAAGAACCAGATCTGTTAAATAAGACACCTAAATATTTGTATTCATTTACAATTTCTAAAGTTTCGTTTTTGAATGTAAAAGTGTATTCGCGTTGTCTACCTCTTGAAAATACAAGTACTTTTGTTTTAGAAGAATTTAATTTAAGTCTCCAAGCATCACAGTAATCAGCATAGATATTTAAAAGGTTTTGCAAGTCTTCTGCAGATTCTGCCATTAAAACGGTGTCGTCTGCATAAAGAAGTATGAAAAGTTTTACAAAATTTATAGCTTCTGTTTCGAACTCATGTTTGTTGCATTTTACACCTGATGCTATATTACTACTGTTAATAAAATCACTTAGATCATTTAAGTATAGAGAAAAAAGCAGGGGAGATAAATTTTCACCCTGTCGGACGCCGACATTACAAGGGAAGTAATCAGTTTTTACTCCATTTACAAAAATGCATGACTTAGCTTTTTCATACATGTTTTTTATAACATTTAAGAAAGATCCATTTATATTGTTAAGAATAAGTTTTCCCCAAAGACCCTCTCTCCAAATAGTATCGAATGCTGCCTTTAAGTCGACAAAAGCACAAAATAAAGATTTTTTACTGGTTCTTAGAATTTCTATTAGCGAATTTAAAACAAATAAGTTATCTGCTGTTGAATAACCTTTACGGAAACCGGCTTGGCATTTATCAATTAAGTCGTTGTCAGTACAATATTGTTCTAGTCTGTTATTTAAGATTAACGTAAACAATTTACCAAGGCAGCTTAAAAGGGTTATTGGTCGATAATTTGATGGATCAGAAGGGTTACCTTTATTTTTAAATATTGGGTTTACTAAACCTGAAGTCCATGCGATAGGTATTTTGCCTGTTTTGAATACTATATTGAATAATTTAAGAAATACTTCTTTAGTTTTGGGAAACGAATATTTTAAATGTTCATTCAATACATTGTCAATACCACTGGCTTTATTATTTTTCAAATGTTTGATAGCTTTTTCAATTTCTTGTATTGTTATGGGTTTGTTTAAGAATTCATTTGTTTCCATATTTATTAAATTATCATTTTCAACATAGTCAGTTTCCTCACAGTAGTTTATATCTTTAAAATAGTCGTAAAGTTGATTTATGTCTGCACCTATTTTATTTTTTTTCTTTCCATTTAATAATTTCCAAAATTTTCGAGGCGATTGTGATTTGAGTTTCTTAAGTTTCTCTACATTAGAGAATACAAATTTTTTATGACTTTCATGCAGCACATTTTTATATTGTTTACTTTGATTTTTTAGATTTATTCTATTTTCGTCGCTTTTCCGTAATTTATAGAGATGTTTGGCAGAATGAAATTTTTTTCTAGCTCTATAGCAATTATTATCAAACCATTGTTTTTGTTTTTTTTTTTCATTATTATAATGATTATGATTATTATCATTATTTTTTAGTGTTTATGTATTTCACACCGAACGTTTCTTCAGAAGATTGTACAAGCAATTCGGAAATTTCCTCAGTTACTTCATTTAACTCATTGCCTATATTATCAAGCGTTTCTATATTCAAAAGCTTTGAGTAGATATCACAAAGCCTATCTTCCTTGATATTAGAACAATAAACATGTGCTTTATCTTGATCAAATATCGTGAATTTATTTAACTTTGGTGTTGATTCATTTAAAGGCTTGTTGCAAAAATCTAATAAAAGTGAGATCGGGCAATGGACATCAGAATACATAGGGCAAAAATCGTGCACAGTCAAACTATCGACAAACTTAAACATATCAGATGTACAAATAAAATAATCAACGCTACTAACATTTTTACAGGTACAATTGCCATTTAAATCACCATTCGTTCTACCATTCAAAATAAACATATCATTTGCATGTAAAAATTCGACAAATCTATAGCCATAATTATTAACACTTCTATCACAATTATTTCTTTGTCGCTTAACAGTAGTGCAATAATTAAACTTTTCAATGTTTTCGTTCAGTTCAAAGTATAGATCATCTAGATTATTGATATGAAAAATATCATAATTCATTTCAACAATATCATTAAGTAATTTTGTTCTGGAGTTCCAATCCCCAAACATACATATACTAGCAGAGTTTTCTGAAAATTTCTCTATTTCATATTGTATTTCTGAAAATGGGTCTGGATTAGAAAAATCTGAGTTTTCTGGTGGCACGTATACTACACCATACAAAGTATTTTCATTTGCAATTATTTTATCGGAAATTTTGAACCATAAAACTAACTTACTGTCACTCTCTAAAATCGTTATATATGGACTTAATGTTTCTCTAACACAAAGAACAATACCACCAGACCTGCGTTTTGCAATTTCTTTTCTGTGCTTAAAAAATAGACGAAACCCATCTAATTCAATTGTATCCAAATTGTCTAACTTTGTTTCTTGTAAGCCTATAATGTCAAATTGCTGAATAAAAGAAATGAATTCAGGGTAAATTTGCTTAGACTTTAACCCGCATACATTTATAGAACAAAATTTTAAGGTTGATGACACATATTTGTCATGTACACGTACACTTTTACCTAATAAGTTACTTTCATGCAAAAAACAATTTTCATGGGGATCACGATTTAAAAGTGGTATTTCTCCATGTCTGTCCTAAATGTTATTATTATGATATGGGTCACTGCATGTCTGGTCGCTTTCTATTCGGTCTATATTTTGAGGTGCGACATGTGTATTCGACGAAATGATCTCATCTTCCATATTTTCACAAAATCGTTTTTGTAATGTATCTTCAAGTGGTGAATTTGCTTTATGTTTGTTCTGTTGTTCATGTTGTCTCAATGGTTCATATGTGTTATGTGTTGGTGTCTCAAACCACTGTCCTCGTGTCGTTACATTACCATTGTTTTGTAAGAAACGTGTTTGTCTGTTGTTATTCTGTCCAATATTTTCTGTTCTGTTCTGTCTCTGTTCATTGTCGTATGTTTGTTGATAGTTGTTGCTAAAGTTTAACCAGCTTCCAGATTCAATATCGTATTTCTGTCCGTTGACCGTCAATTTGTCGTTCTTTAATTGTACTCTGTAGCCACTTTTGCCCTTGTATTTTCTCATCACGGGAAATAACTTTCTTCTTCTTTGTTCTATATCTGGAGGGTAATATTCATTTACGTAAAACGAACCTTTTCTTGCATTCAATTTTATTCCTTTGGAGCGGATATTTTCTCTGTCTTCAAATTTTTGGAATGTTACATGTATGGGCCTCGGTTTTCCTCTAAACATACCTAACCGGTTTGCCTTAACCAAAGAAATGTTATCACAACACACTGTTTTGTCTACATTTATATCTGGGTCATTTTCAATATTTTCCCTAATAAAATTGTTGATGGATTCTATACAGTTTTCCATTTGTGACGGATTTGTTTCTGTGATGCCAGTGAATATTAAATCGTTTTTGAAGGAATTACATCTCTGTTCTGTGACATGATCATACATTTCGGAATTGGATTTTTTAATATTATCAAGATTTCTGCGTAAGTACCCATTAACAAATATTCTTTATGTATCCTACGGTGTTCGATATATGTGCTATTATTCATTAAAGATTACAGTAATACAAAATTCAAATAAAAAAATACAAAAAAAAAAAATATATAAAAACACAAACAACACAGTGCTATTTTTCACGACACTCACATACATAGCCCAAAAACTAAACAAAGCAAACAAAAAAAATCCATTTCCGCCAAAATTATGCTGGTTTCCCACCGTTTTTGTGTAACTATTATTGCTTAATAAAAAAATCACAAAACCGTCTTAAAATGATTTATAGACACAAGATTCTGCGTGAGCCAAGTTTAGATGAAAAGACACACTAAGTC